CACGGCGCCACCTTCCACCAACGCGAAGTAACTGGAATTGATATCTTCGAACAGAATAGCAAATCCATCAGAACAGAAACAACATCTGACACCGCTTTTTGAGCACATGTGTGCGAACCTTGGGCCCCGCATGCGCAGTGATAATGAATCGCCTCCTGCTTCTAGTCCCCCCCAATGATATCAATAGCCTTGTCCCGAAGCTTTACCACAGACGGAGGGAGGTATGCATCAGGCAGGTTTTTGCACAGCCTTAGTTCGTCAGGATACGTCATTCTCTCTGGTTCTCGCTCTCTCTCCCTTTCTCTCTCGCTCTCTCGCTCTCTTTCTCTGTCTGGCTCTCTCTCTCTCTCTCTTTCTTGTTCTCAGCCTCTCTTATTGTTTTATATCTCTCACGCGGACTCTCTCCGATTGCGCTCCCCTTTCTTGCGTGAATGCGTTCACCTGTTATGTTATGTATATCTTTCTCTTGTTCTCACGGTTTCTCTCTCTCTCTCTCACTCTTTATCGTTCTCTCTCTTTCTTGATCTCGATCTTTCCTATATTCGCGTTCTCCGTATCGTTTATTGCTTGTTGTGTTTCCTGTTTTCATTTCTCTCCTTCTCCTTCTCCCTGTCTCTCTCCTTTTTGCTGGCTACCTCCCCAGATCGGCTCCCAGATCGGCCCAAGCAGACCCAGGCTTCCGGGCTCCCAGGGGGCGTTTGAGTAGCTGACGTCAATCGTAGAATCTGACTAGCAAGGGAACGATGACGAGGGTCACGTGGAGCATGGTGGATAACGCGAATGTGTTTCTCGACATGTTGTTTTAGACCTCGGACCATTTGCATCCAATCTGAGGATATAACCATCGCGTTCGCTGCCCTGTACATTGGACTGGCAATGCCAAGATTGGTAATCATCGGAATCGAGCATCTGTGAGCGAGATGAACCATGCACCTGACACGACCACCCACAGAGGAGGACTCATCCTCCTCGTCATCCTTTCTCCCCTTTCTGCCCTTTCTCCTCGCGCTCATCTCAGGACAAGGGCGAGGGAACGGAGCAAGCGGGTGCGAAAAGGCGAGGGAAGATGAATCCTTGACCCTGGCCAGACCTCACATGGAGCACGATAACACACGGCCTGTCTCTCAGAAGCCAACGGAGGTGGGTCACTACTCTCTGGTTAGCGCTGGCGTCGTCCGCGACACATACAAGTATCAGCCATCTCGCACGCACTCTATCTTCTATTGTGCCAATCCCGCCGCCACAAAATACACCCGCACGCTCGAGGCCCGCAAAGATACACTCCCCCGTCAAGCGCGTAAGTAACACTAGTGGACACACCCACGGCTGACATGCATTCAACTGATTATTTTTGAACCACCCGTGTACTACCATGATCGAGCATGTCGTTTGCACACGCACATCTTTCAAGTCGTCGTCGGAATGTTTGATCTGAATTTCTTGCTGCGTTTCGTCCCATTTTATTCTCATTGATGCGCATACTGAAGTGTGCGTGTAAAACTTATTCAACGCATGGTCCCGATCAGCACGGTAGCGCCAAACCGCAATGAGCACAAGCTGCCGGAGATACGAATTCCTGACATCGGTTGCCCTCGCCCGAGCCCTGGAAGATTGGTATTGTAATCCCCAAATCAAATCGTACACCTCCCAGACACCCTTTGCAGACATGTCGAGGCCCCCTCCCCGCGAACTCTCCCAGTCCGATGTGCACACTCACGTCCAAAAATACAACGAAGCATTTCTCTTCTCTTGTCCTCATCCTCATCCCGGCATCATCGTGTACGAGTTCTCTCACATCCAACCCCCAGCCCCGCCGTCTGGGTAGTCACGTGCACTGGCACGCCGAACGGCTCGGACAGGTCGATAATGCCGTCATCCTCCTCCGGCTCTCGCTGCTGCTCGTCGCGGCGCCTCCCATGCCCTTCTGTTAGCTTGCTCGTCCGTCCCCTCCCTCCCTCCCTCTGAACATCCTCGTCCCCCTCCTCTTATTTGTCCTTGCCTGCCTTCTTCTCACCCTCCTCGTCCTCTAGTCACTTCCTCTCCTTCAAGCCTTCTTCCTCTACCTACCAGCTGAAAAGATGGCGGCGCGCGGCTGGAGGAGGGCAGGAAGCAGGAGAAGAAGGGCAAATATGAGGATGAATCGGATTGGCAGAGGCGGCGGAGGCACGCGCCAGGAAAGAACGGGCAGGGAAAAAAGAAGGAGCGGGTGATGGTAAGGAGAAGTTGAGGATGAGAAGAGAGACGTGACGGCGAAATCTTTCTTTATACTTCACATCTTGATCATCATCGCATTCTTGCGCATCCACCTCCTCCCTCCCCATCTCCTCCATCCAACCAATTTGTATCCTCCCCCTCCTGTTCCCTGTCCCTGCCCCATCCCCTCCGTAGAGCGTCCAGGACCTTCCGCGCCAGCTCAGTCTGGCGCCGCCCAGGCCCCTGCGGGGCCACGTCGGCGACGTCCACGGCGCCACCCGCTGGGCCGCCAGCCCCAGCATCAGCCAGCAACGCCAGGTCCAAGATGCCCTCCATGGCTAGCGACCCACATCTTGGACGACGCCAACCCTGTACAACGCCAGTGTGATACTCGCTTCCGTGCGCGCCAAAAGCGCAGAAGCGGTATCACACATGGGCCTAGTACATGGTTGGCGTCGTCCACATGGTTGGCCGGCCTTGGCTCTGAATGGGTGGCCGAAACGTCATAGGAGCAGCAGCAACAGCAGGAGCAGCAGCAGCAGCAGCAAAAGCAGCAGTGTGCGTTCTGTAGTCTTGCGTTTGGAGCATCCTGGGACCTTGGCGAATCTTCTTCGCTCATTTTGGCGGCCTCTGGGGGCATCTTGGGCCACTTGGGCCCTTCTGCAGGCTCACTTGGGAGCCCTGGAGGCCACCTAGGGTCTGATAAGACCCTACAAATCGGCCGTCTGACTTGCGGTAGTTAATTAACATCGGTCCTATAAAGTACCCACAGTGTCTGCTGGATCCCATTGAAGCCTCTCATGTGTTCTGGGTGAGATTCTGGCGCTCTTGGAGCCGTCGCAGGACGCTCTTCGGTTTTTATGCTGGCTATCTTGGGCCATCTTGGAGCCTCGGAGGGCAATCTCGATCTACTTCAATTTCCCCTTGGGCGTGTGAGCGCTAGGTGGCGATCAAGAATGAGGGAGATTGGGTTGGTTTGTTCTGCTTTAAGGTTCCATTGCGGTTTGATTGCCGTTCGGTTGCGGTTTGATTGTTTTTTGTTGGTGGATTGGATTGTGGTTTGTTGTGGCCTTGCGTTGTGTCACAGCATTGTGATGTAAAACAGCAAGCACATACACTACTGAATGACAGTAGTTAGATTTGAGCCAGGTTTGACTGTCTTTTCATTGCAAATGAAGGCATATTTTCTATTGCCGCGAAACATCAGTAATATTTGGTTTATTTTTGATTGCTTTTTCACTTTAATCTTCGGCTCGTATTAGTTCGTCATGCTGAATGCATTGCGCAATTGCAAGCAAAACGCAAGCAAAAGCAGGTGAAAAAACTAGTAGTGGCAACCTTTATGTACACATGCGCGCGTTTTGTGGTCAAACGTCCAGCAATTATAATGTAGGGGTGGTAATACCGTTCAAACGTCGCACAATCAGTGTTAAATCTTAGTGAAATCTCAGCGAGTTGCACCACTGCCCTATAATTGAAGGCTTTTGACCAGAGAATTGCTGTCGGAATTCCCCTCCCTGGGGGGGCATCTTTCTCCGAACAGAACCAGGGCCTTACCTTAGGGGAATTGCGCACCTAAAGCATGTATTAAAAACGGCACTGTACTCCCACCACGCGGCAGCGGGTCACACGGGTTGGAAGACAGGGTTCAGGTCAGGCCGCGAGGCACGAAGGGGCGCTGTAGTATGGCATACGGTGCGGGCGCGGCCGCGAGGAGCCCTCGCAAGAAGCCCAACCCCGAGAGCCCGTGCGCGAGGTGCACCGGAGGGGAAACCTGGAGCACCCCGAGCGCAGCAGGTCTTCCAGCGGCTGTGGGCAGTCGCCGCGCAGCGCGAGGGGCGAAGAGGCCCAGGACGCCCCGACGAAGAGCCCCCTCCTCCTCCTCCTCCTCCTCCTCCTCCTCCTCCTCCTCCTCCTCCTCCTCCCCTCCTCCCTCCTCCTCCTCCTCCTCCTCCTCCTCCTCCTCCTCCTCCTCCTCCTCCTCCTCCTCCTCCTCCTCCTCCTCCTCCTCCTCCCTCCTCCTCCTCCTCCTCCTCCTCCTCCTCCTCCTCCTCCTCCTCATCCTCCTTCCTCCTCCTCCTCCTCCTCCTCCTCCTCCTCCTCCTCCTCCTCCCACCTGTGGGCCCGAGGTGGGATGAGCTGCGACAGAGAGTTGGAAAGCATGGCGCGCGGCCCGCGCTCGGAGCGCGCGGGCCGTCGCTTTTTCCCGGCCCGGGGAGGGCAGGGCCCCGGCCGTCGAGAGGGCTGCGGGGGAGCCCTCGGAGCACCTGGGCGCCGCCGCCTCCTCGACGGCGCCCTCCCCGACGGGAGGCCAGAGGCAGCCGCGAGTGGCAAGGGGAGGGAGCGGGGCACGTGCGGAGGCGGCTCTGCCTCTGAAGCCGGCCCACGGTCGGGCCGGACGAAGGGGGGGGGATAGGGAAAGGGTGGGTTACAAAATTTGGTGCATACAGCTGGTTTCGGCCCCACCGAGGGGCCCATTCCTCGATACATGGCCGCCTCCCGGCGCCGGGAGGCGCCAGAAGAATCAGCTACGCGAGCTGATTCTCAAGCCTTCCCTTTGCTATCCCCCCTTTCGCCCGGCCCGATTGTTGCCCCCCCCCCGACGCGCCGATGCAGACACGACGACGCCGACGGCGTCGATGACGGCGACGCCACTGACGACGACGACGACGACGACGACGACGACGACGACGACGACGACGACGACGACGACGACGACGGCGACGACGACGACGAGGACGACGACGACGACGACGACGACGACGACGACGACGACGACGACGACGACGACGACGAGCCGCCAGCAGGCCGAGGGTCAGCTGGCGCGCCAGGGCGCGGATGAGCGGGCGGAGGCGGCACGCGAGCGCCGCGCGCGGGAGGAGCTGCGCGGCCAGCTCCAGGAGCGGGGAGGGGTCCGGGGCGACTCAGAGGAGGAGCGAGCACCGCGACGGAGTTCCCGGCACACCCATCGGCCACTGGCGGTGGTGCCTTCGGGCGCTGCCTCACGGAGGCGCCTCGCGCGCCGGGGGAGCCAAGACTTCACGAGCAAACTGCGACGTCGGGGGAGATGACTTGGCATCGCTCGGACGTGTGCATTTTGTTCTCGGCGAGAACCATCGAGGACCATCCTGGACCATCGAGCGACAAAGCACGCACGAGACCGATAAATGCACGGGACATGGACGTCCGAGCGACAAGACGAGGGGCAAGGTTAGGGGGACATCAGAGGAGGAACAGGCACCCAAGCCGCTGAAATTTCCCTCGTTGCCCCCTTCTTGGGCCTCCTGGGAAGCCCTCGTCGCCATCGCTGGATTCGCCTCGAGATCCTGGTCAGAACGCACCCTGGGAGAGGTCCTGAGAGTAGCGGCATCGGTACCGTTCGGTTCCCCCACAGTGGGGATGCATCGAACCCCATACGCCCATTCATCGCCGCGAGGGGCCCGATCGCCTCCCCCCTAATGACGGTGTGGCTTCTTTATCGGGGGCGGGGGCGTACCGCCGACGTCTAGGCGATGTGTCGTCGACTCCACGTCGATGGTTCCCACCCTGAGCCGGTCCCCCCCCAACGCTGCCTCTCATGCCCCCCATCCGAGGAGGGCCAGTGGAGACGCCGGCAGCCCGCCTTCCTCATGCTCATCCTGCCTCCTTCGGGCCGGGAGAAGGAGGGGGGATAGGGGAAGGGGGGTGGTTGCTGCATGCAGCTGGTTTTCGGGTCCGGTCCGCCGCCAGGCGCATTCCTCGATGTGCTGGCGCCTCCCGGCGCCAGGGGGCGCCGGAGGAGAAACCTGCCGAGTGAATCGATCGGCCCCCCCTTGTGCTATATCCGCCCCTCTTCGTTCAACCGAGCTCTTCCGAGGCCTCCTCCTCTCCCCCCCCCCGGTTGGTTGTCTGGCTGATGCCCCGGGGGGGGGGGGGGCTACAGCATCGCTCAACGACGTGCTGCTGTCTACTACCCGAGCCTGCTGGGTGGGCCCTTTCGGTGCGGATCCTCTGCCCGCCCCGTCTCCGCCGTCGTTGTCGGCGGCATCGTCGTGGTCGTGGTGCGTGCTGCTCTGCTCGGGACTCGTGTCCCTTGTGCAGCGACCACCGCCACCACCTCTTCCTCCTCCTCTTCCTCCTCCTCCTCCTCTTTCTCCTCCTTTTGCTCCTCCTCCTCCTCTTCCTCCTCCTCCTCTTCCTCCGTCTCCTCCTCCACCTCCTCCACCGCAGCCGCTTTCGCTGGCAAAGACCGACCCATGTTGGGGTGCGCGGGTCTGTCGACGGCCCTGCGGCGCCTCGAAGGCGCTGAGTCGGTCCGTTTTCACAAGTTAGGCTTTGCCACTCTCAGCCGTACCCAGAAGCATCTGATTTTCTGCACCAATTGTGTGCGTACACCTCCCGCAGGTGTCACCTGCTCAGCCAGATGTGTTCCGAGAAGCTGGGGGGCCTCAGGAGAAGGTGCCCTAAAGCGAATCGGCGAAGGCCTCCTTCATTACAGGCGGGACCCTGAGGGTGTTGAAACTATTTCTCGAGCGCCGCCAAAGACGGTGCTGCTTGCTCCTCCAGGCCCCGTGGCGGCAGGAAGTGTGCGACTCGTCGACAACGATCGATTGCGTGCACTTACCGAGCGGATTCGGGCCAGAGAGGAGGCCGCTCGATAGTCTCAGGTTGCTCGTTCCCTGGTTCGCTCCGCGGCCGACCCGAGCGTGGCCTCAGGTCGGGCGTGTCCACCTACAGGTGGATTTGGGAGTAGAAATGAAAAGTAGCCCCAGAAATATGCAGAAAGAGTCGAAGCATGGTCCCCCAACTACTTTTACAACAAAAAATATGCTTGAGCATGTTGTCCTCCTGTAGAGCGACGTGCACGACTTAGGCGTAGCCGCGAGGAGCTCCTCCCCCTCCTCCTCCTCCCCCTTCCTCCTCCTCCTCCTCCTCCTCCTCCTCCTCCTCCTCCTCCGCCTCCTCCTCACTGGTTCGTTCCGCGGCCGACCCGAGCGCAGCCGCGAGGAGCTCTGGGACGGCTACCGGCGGTCCGAGCAGCAGAGCGAGGCCAGCGCCGCCCGCTGCGCGGAGTGCGTCGAGCTGCTCCGGAGGCCGCCCTCCGCCCCGCCGCGGGGGGCGGGGCTTCCGCTCCCGCAGTGGCTTCCGCTCCCTCGCTTTCCTCGGAGGTGGATAGACCTCCTACCCTGACACGTCGATTCAAGAATTTGCCGTTTCCGGTTCGCGAGAGGGCGTCGCGGCCCTCATTTTTTGCGGGTTCAGGTCTGTCGGTTTCGGTCCTGGCCCGTTTTCTCTAAGGGGAGGTTTACTAAAGGGAGGTTTGTCCACCGCCGTTTTCCCCCAAAAAGGTGCGCAGGGCGGCGGCGTTGCGGCGCAGAGAGGTGGATAGCCCAAGGGGTCTCCGCCGCAGGGGGTCCTGGGAGTTGAGTTGTGGGCATGCGTGTGGTTGGGGGGCAGCCGCATGCATTTGTTTCCCGAAGCTTCCCCTCTTCCCCCTCGCTTTCCCCTCGCTCGGCCCCTCTTTCGGCCTCCTGGGCGGCCCAAGAACAAGGGCGCCCTCGAGGGCGCGAAGTTACTCGCGCTTCGCGGTTCGGCTCCGATTCCTCCTCTTCCTCCTCTTCTCCCCTGGGAGGCGGCGCGAGAGCGCGAAGTTATTCGCACTTCGCGCTTCGCGCAGCGCGAAGCGCGAAGCTTGGAGCCCTTGTTTTTCGGCCTCCTGGGCGGCCCAGAACGGGCGATCCCGTGGGCCGTTTTCGTTCCGGCTTCGCTCTGCGGCAGCGGCGGCACGAAGACCGCGCGAGGGGGGACCGAGTACAAATCGGAGGTTGATAGGCCTTAGTGTTACGTCGGGCGTGACCCCCATACCGGGTCCCAATACTCCAAAAGTATCCCAAGAAGGTCAAAAAATACTCAAAAAGTAGTCCCCATATCATTTTTGGGACCGAGTACAAGTCGGAGGTTGGTAGACCCCTCAGTGGCGCAGTGGCGCCTCTCGGCCTCGGCAGCAGGGCTCCGCAGTGGCGCCTGGGCAGCAGGGCTCGACCTGAGCAGTGCTTGTCAGGAGTGGAAGAAACACACACGGCAGTAATGGACCGTCGACTCTCAGAGGACGAAGAGGTACCCATACCTCTACCTTTCCCTCGTTTTCTTTTGGGGGTGAAAAAACACAAAAACAATGAATCGTCGATTCTCAGAGGAGGAAGAGATGCCCATACCTCTGCCCTTCCCTCGTTTTCCCCTTTTTGGTCGGGGGTGGACAGAACCCCCCCCAGTGACACGTCGATTAGTGACTTGTCCGTTTTCGGTTCTCGAGAGGACGCCGCGGCCGTTATTTTCCAGGCTTGCGCCCGCCAGGTTTGGGCCTCAGGTCGTTTTCACTTCTGTCCATCCCCAAGAGGTACCCATACCTCTACCCTTCCCTCGTTGTCCCCTTTTTGGGCCTCCTGGGCAGCCCTCGTCGCCACCGCTGGACTCGCTTCGAGATCCTGGTCAGAACGCACCCTAAGAGAGGTCCGGGCAGTAGCGGTATCGGTAACTTTTGCTCTCCCCAGATTCCCCCGGAAAATATGGGAACATATGGGAAGTGGGGGGGAAGACGAGCGTCCAACAAATACATGAAAAGAAGAATCCTGGGGTTCGTGTGTATTTATTTGTGTTCCTGGGCCCCCTCGGTTTGGGCGATCTCGTGGGCCGTTTTCGTTTCGGTCTCGCTTCGCGGCAAGGGCGGGACGAAGGCAACACGAGGGGAGGCGACTACAGAACGAGGACGGACAACAGAGAGTGGAGGACGGGGCTCCTCGCTGCGCACTCGGCGCAGGCTCCCGGGGGGCGGGCTTCCGCTCCGCAGCGGCGCCTCGGGCGGCAGGGCTCGACCCAAACGGTGTTCGGGCGAGTTCGTGGGCCGTTTTGGTTTCGGTTTCGCTTGGCGGCAGAGGCGGCGCGGCGACAGCACGAGGGGGGGGACGGCTGCGAAACGAGGACGGAAAACACCGTTGAGGTCGAGCTTTGTCGGGCAGTGCCAGGGTCGACGAGGGCGTTCGCGGGTCGGTCGGTTCGGTCGCGTCGCAGTCGGCTGCGTTGGGTCGGTTCAGTTCGGTTGGTTATTGCGTCGTTGCCGCGTCGTTTCCTTCTAGGCTGGCTTCGGCCTGTCGGTTTCGGTATCACCCCTGGTTATGAAGGGTTGACCCGGTAAGTGCATTCGAGCCAGTTCAGTCGTCAACGGGGGAGGTGTTAGTGGTGGAGCGTTTCCGCCGTTATTCATCGCTCCAGGGGGGTCAGTTTCGATCGGACCCCCCGTCATTTCTCCCAAGTGGGGGGTCTGCCTGCGCGCGATTTGTCAGTTGTCGGCTTCTGCTGCTGCTGCTGCTGCTGCTGCTGCTGCTGCTGCTGCATGCTGCTGCTGCTCCATGCTGCTGCTGCTGCTCGCACGGTTCCAAGCGGCCCCCAGAGGCCCCCAAGAGCGCCCCAAGAGCGCCCCAAGAGGCCCCCAAGAGAGCGCCAAGATTTTTTGTTTTTTCTTTGACCCCTCTGGGAGCTTTTGGTGGCCCCCAAGAGGCCCCAAAGGCTCCCAAGAGGCTCCCAAGAGGCCCCCAAGAGGCCCTCAAGGGCCCCCAAGAGGCCCCCAAGAGGCTCCCAAGAGCGGCCCAAGAGGCCCCCAAGAGGCCCCCAAGAGCCGCCAAGAGGCCCCCAGAAGGCACCCAAACTTATTCAAGAAAAGCAGCGGAAATCACAATTTTCTAAGATTTCGGGGGACCCGCCGCTTTCGCCCCCTGTTTTGAACACTTTTTGGCGCTTCGCCGCGGCTTGTTTTTGATTGACCTGCGCACGAAAAAGCCCCCCCCCCGGCCCGCCCAGAGGGACTTCCAGAACATGCGCTTTTTTGGGGGTTCCACTATTCAGGGGACAGTCGAAAAACCCACAGTTTCGGCAGGCCCCGTGAATAGTGGAAGCGGGGGCCTGGGGGGCCCAAGACGGCCAGAAAAGGACACCAAAATCGTCAATGAGCGGCCTTGGAGGCCCCATGATGGCCCCAAGGGGCCGCGATATTCCCCCAAGAAGGCGCCATATGGCTTCAATGGTTTCCAAGACGCTCTTGGGGGCTTTCGGGGCCTGTATGCCTGCTTATGGGGGCCTTATGGTGGGCTTCTTGGGGCCTTACGGGGCCATGTGGGGGGCCTTTTGGGGCCCTCTTGGGGGCTTCTGGGGGCCTTATGGAGCCATCTTGGGGGCATGTGGGGGGCCTTTCGGGAATATTATGGCCTCTGGGGGTGGTCTGGGCCCCTGTCCAACGACTTGTGTCGTGCCAAGCCAGAGTGATTTGCTCAAAAGATGATTTTGCAATACGCAAACAGCTTGATTCATCGCCGACGTGGGGCGCTGTGTTTGAAATTGGGGGTTGTTATTGTTCGAGAAACCCCCCTCGTGTGGCGCCGTTGGAATCGTTAGGAAATCGTTCCAGGGGGGTGAGGTAGGGAAAGTCCGGTTTTTCATTCGTCACGGCAGAGGGAAGGTTGAGTGTTTCGGGATTTATTTTTATTATTCAAGCCTGCTGCGACCAGGGTCCAGCGTTGTATTGCCGGGGTTGTTGTTTCGGTCGGTGTCGGTTTCTCTGTCGGTTCGGTCCGTTTTCGGTTTTGTTGTCGCCGTGCATGGCCCTGAGCCAGGGGGGGAGGAGGCGCTCACAAAGCTTCCAGGGGGAGGTTTGATCGAGCCTTCAATTTCACCGACGGTTTCCTTTTTTGACGTTTGGCGTTTGGCGGCCACTGGCGGCGAGCAGGCGGTGATTGGTGGACGGCTAGCTCGGGGGGGTACCGCTATTTGCCTCTAATCGGTTGCCGCTGTTTGCCGCTCATCCGCCAACGCCTTTCTTGAGATAGGCTTCCGTGAGAAACGAATGCAACGAGTCGGATGAGACGCTCACAGAGCCTTGCCCCAGTCGAGGAACACAGACAGCATAAACCTGCTCTCGGTGGTCCCCCGGGAGATCTCTTGCCTCGGCGCTCGGGCCCCCTGGCGGCGACCCGGGCGCCGCCCCCGGCGCGCGCCAGGGGGGGGGGGCCCACCGCCGATCCAAGAGGTCCGCGCGGTCCTCCAGGAGCTTATGATCGTGTAATGTGTGTTTCTCTTCGATCGGTGGAGCGGACGGGGGTTCCATGCCGCTCTTCCTCCCCCGTCCCTCCGCTCCCCCCCCATTTGATGTCTGTTCATGGGAGCCTTGGGCGGCGACATTGAAATCTGCTTCTCCTGCATTTGGACAGCGTGGGGACCGCATTTGGCCCATCCTCCTGCTCCTCTTCTCCCATCCTGTTCCCCCTCCCCCTCCTCGTTCACCTACGTAGCCCCCACGAATCCAGTCCAGGTCTGGTCCAAATCCGGTCCAAATTTGTTCCAAATCCGGTCGAAATCAGGCCCAAATTGGACAGTGCCGGGGGCCACGCAGGCTCCCATGGAACGGACACCAAACCCCCACGCGCGCAATTGCCTTCTGCAGGAGCAGCCAGTTTGTGGGGGGGGTGTGCCCAAGTCGTGGATGTCCAGCACCTCCATCCATCCCCCCCTCGCGAGGGCGATTTCGGTGGCACTTCTTTTGGAGGAACAGGTCGGGGCTCCCGCGACGGAGTTCACTCGGTGCCGGGTAGGGGCCGAGGAGCAGAACACACTCGCATAACCTTTTTTTCCAGGAGCAGGAGCAAATCGGGGCTCACGTGACGGAGGTCAGAAAGGGGGGGATAGGCTCAGAGGGGGGACGCATCTTCCCCAAATCGAGCATGCATCGCCGACAGGGGCCCGATAGCACACCCCGCCCATGACCGTGCTGTCTCATTGCTGAGGTATCGGCGAGGTATCGCCGATTCCAGTCCGAGATCTTTCAGGAGGGAAAAAACACACAGACACAATTAATCGCCGATTCCCCAGAAAATATGGGAAAATACGGGAAGCGGGGGGGGAGACAGAAACCCAGAAGATATGGGAAAACATGGAGAATATTTTTATTTGTGTGTATTTATTAATCGCTTCGCTCATTCCGCCGGCCCATACAGTCTCATGTCTGCCGTTTGCCCGAGGGCCTGGTGTCAATGCGGCGCTTTGGGGGTTCCTGGGGCCGCTTGGGGGACTCCTGGGGCGCTCGGGGGGGCATTTGGGGGGCCTCCTGGGGCCGCTTGGGGGACTCTTGGGGGCCTCCTGAGGGCCCCGTGGGGGCCTCTTGGGGCCTCTTAGGGGCCTCGTAGGGGCTTCTTAGGGCCGAGGGCTCGAAATGTTGTTTCGTGTTCCCTCTCTGGGGCCCCTTTGGGGGCGTTCTTGGGGCCCTCTTGGACCGTTTTGGAGGCTTCTTGGGCCGTCTTCGAGCCCTCTTGGGCCATCTTGGGGCCCTCTTGGGTGCCTCTTGGGCCCTCTTGGGGCGATCTTGGGGGCCTCTTGGGCCGTCTTGGGGCGTCGGGAAGCCGAAAAGGTGGAAGCTCCAAAATCTCTCAAAAACCTATGGAAAAACAATGATTTTTGCCTCCGGGGGCCCTATTGGGAGTGCTCTTGGAGGCCTCTTGGGGCGTCTGGGGGCTATCTTGGGCGTCTTGGAGCGATCTTGTGGCATGTCGGACCCCTCGTGTACCATCTTGGGGGCCTCTTGGGGGCCTCTTGGCCTTTCTTGGGGCTCTCGGGGACGTCTCGGAGCCCTGTTGGTGCGCTCATGGAGCGCTCGGGGGGACCGGCCGGGACCTGGTCGGGGTACTTTTCGTCCGGGGACCCCCAGGGGCCGCCCCGCGCGCGCGAACTAGAAAATTGTTAACCAGTTACCGGAGATCTTAGCACGCCTCTGGCCCGTTGGGCCGGCGAATTTGTGTGTCCCAGGGCCCCTTCAATTTTCCCATGGAGCAGGTCCCCCTCCCATCGTTGCCCCTCAGTGGCGAAGTCAACCGGGGCCCGGTGAGGGCCAAAGAGGATCACACAGCTTCGGTAGAGGGCTGCAAACAGCGTTGCGCAGTTCGCGATGGGGGTCCTCGGCAGGGCTCGCTTCAATTCCTCCGATTCGATTCGATTCGGCTTCGATGGCTTCCGATTCCGATTCGATCGGACTTGGGATTCCGATTTGGGTTCCGATTTTTCATAGGAGGCATACCAGCCTGCCGATGCCCGCCGATTCGACTTTTCCCGATATGGCTGCCGATCTCCGCCGCCGATCCGATGAATTTCGGTCGCCGATCCGACTTATCGATTCGACTCTGGGCTCTCCTGCCTCGGTGGGAGGCCACGATGGGGGGCCACGATGGTCTAGCGATCTCGGGGGCCCAGCATCCCACACCAGGCTGTAGAAGCTTAGTTGCTGAGGGACAAGCTGCATCGGTAGAGTCTTGTCGATCTGCGCGGATGCCTTGGCTCTGGGCCGGACCGCCTGGCGCCGCCCCTGGCGCGCTGCGCCCTGCAGGGAGGGGGGCCCGGCGCCGATCCTACAGATCCGCATGGCCCTCCGAGAGTTTATGTGTTTGCACTTTGGTTTTCGCCCCTGCAGGCCGAACGCGGGCAGAAACCTTGCGTGGCGATTTTTGTTCACGGCGCGAGGAGCTCTGGGAGTAGCGAGCCGACGCTCAGCCCGAAGCGTGCGTTCGCGCCGAGCGGCTTCAAGATCCGGGCTTGCAGCGCTCTTGTGAAGCAGATGCGGGAGCTTGCGGAAAGCATGCGCCGATTCAGGTGTATCGGCAGCGAACTCAGTGCGGATGGCAGCGATGCGAAGAGGGTGCGGCAACAGATGAGCAGCCTGGCAGGGCGTAGAGTGGCCTTGTACGCGGCGATGAAGGGGAGGTACGGTAGAGGGAAACAATTACTGAACACTCCTCCTCCCCCCAAACTCAACGTTGGCACGCGCGGGGGGAGCTGCGGTCGAAGTGCATCTCGTCAGACCCACCGCCAACTTTGAACATTGGGGGGAGAGGGAAGCGTTGACGGATGAATGTGGCATGAGCGGCCGCTAATTTGTTGTTCCGAGGCCTGTAGGAAGCCCAAGCCATACACGCAAGGTAATAGAGTCAAGAGGAGGATGCCTTCCCGCAGCGTGCTCCCCCTTATTGTTCCCCCGCAACTCGCCCGCAGGTCGGAGCACTCCTGCGCCCAGCTGGAGGCGCGGCTGGCCCGCAAGGCCCCCCGCGGGCCGCTGCCCTGCATGCTTCGGCCATCACAGACTCAACTCGGGCCTGTCCCTCCACAGGAGACAAATATTCAGAAATAGTCAAAACATCGTCTGGGCTGGCCTTTTCCTCCTCCTCCTCCTCCTTTTCCTCCTCCTCCTCCTCCTCCTTTTCCTCCTCCCCTCCTTTTCCTCCTCCTCCTCCTCCTCCTCCTCCTCCTCCTCCCTCCTCCTCCTCCTAATGGGGTGCACCGAGCTCTCGCGGGCGCGTTTGCTTCGCTCTGCTGCCCCGGGTGTCTCTCGACGTGGAAAAAAAACATCGTCTGGGGACGATATGTTTTGATTCCACGTTCCAGAGCTAGTCTGAAGTATTTGTGGTGTATCTGCATGTTTCGCCCAACATTCCGCCTGTCGGGGGACATGCCCGACCCAACCGTAGAGGTCGCAGATCGATCTGCCTCCGTCCGTTCTGCTCGCGCCACAGCGGCTCCCTTGGAGCGGCGGCCGTGGCCAACACGGGGGGTCGCATATACGGCAGCTTCCTGCGGCGCTGGCGCGCCGGCGTTGCCAGCGCGAGGGCGTTCGAGGTGGAGCTCTGCGGCCCGGAAGCACCGGTGGACACGGTGACGCCACTCTTCACCACGTACCAAACCACCCCAACCCAACCCGAAGGCCTCAATTTGCCCTCCATTTCCGGTGGGGGGGGGTCGGGGAGCGTTGAAAAAACACATGGAACCCGTACCCCCCCCAACCCGAAATTCGGGTCAAATTCGGGTCTTCGGGTTGGGTTGGGGTGGTCTGGTAGGTAGTCAACTCTTGGCATCGCTCGGATGTGTGCATTTTTCCTTCGGCGGGGACCATCGAGGAGCATCCTTGATCATTTGGCGAAAAAACAACACGCACGGAATCGAAAAAAAACCACAGGGAATGGACGTCCGAGCGGTGGCCAGCACTGACCCGACTGATTTTGACCTCGAACGATCGTGGCCGCGATCGATTCAAGGTGGAACGATCGACGCGGTGTCAAAAGCCGTTGCGCGCGCCGACGCCGCACGAACCTACCGCACGCTGGGTCACGGGGCCGACGTGGGGTCACATCGGCCCCGTGGGGCCGAGAGGGGTGACACAGCATGCCCGCCACCACGGGCGTGTGGCTGCTTCAAGAAGGTAGGGCTACAAAAGGGACGCGGCCAGTGGGCGACGTAAAAAATTGGCTCGAGTGCGCCGACATTGAGGCGTGAGTTGCTCGCGTGAGGTCGCTCGTGGGCGCCTTCGTTTCCAGTGTAGCGCTTCGCGCTGGCGGCCCGCGTAAGCCACCGCGCGAGGTCGCTATGACATCTCACGTGAGACCCGTTTTCGTTCGTCGCTCATGTGGGGTCTGGGATTCCAAGCGTAGTTTTCTTTCCTGTGTCTCCCAGGCACAGTAGTTGGCTCCCTCCCCCTCACACTCTGTCCGCCAATGGGACAAGAAGAGCACGGAGCGAGGCAGGGGACCAACCGCGAGGCCTGCAGTTGTTTCACGGCGTACGTTGGATCTCAGGGCCCAGGCACCCAACGTCGCGATCTGTTCACGACGTTGACCCCCAGAGACCTCGACCCGCTCCCAGGGACCGGCTTCTCACCCCGAGTCGTCTTCTGACGGACCGTGGGCCCGGCGAGGGCCCCCAGAGGGTGGAAGTTCCAAAGGCCCCCCTTGTCGCGATGCTCTCGCGGCGCGACGGGAGGCGGAAGAGTAGGTCAAGGTGGAGGAGGAGGAGGAAGAGGAGGAGGAGGAGGAGGAGGAGGAGGAGGAGGAGCGAGGAGCAAGGAGCGAGGAGCAAGGAGCGAGGAGCAAGGAGCGAGGAGTGTGGATGAGGAGTCGAGGAGGAGGAGGAGGAGGAGGAGGAGGAGGAGGAGGAGCGAGGAGCGAGGAGGAGGAAGAGGAGAGAGAGGAGGAGAAGGAGGTGGGGGAGCAGCGAGAGAGGAGGAGGAGGAGGAGGGAGGAGGAGGAGCGAGGAGCGAGGAGCGAGGAGCGAGAGAAGCAACGAGCTTGGAGGAGGAGGAGGAGGAGAGGAGGAGGAGGAGGAGGAGGAGGAGGAGGAGGAGGAGGAGGCCGCCGCGAGCCGGAAGCGCCCGTTGCGCAGAGCTGGACCTGCCCGGGCCGCGGGCGGAGGGGGTGCTGGCGCGACCGCCGCGGCCTGCCCTCGGGCGGGCCCCCGGAGCCTTCAAGCCGTGGCGAAGCGTCTTGGCGTTCCTCTTAGGCCTTCCAACCAATGTTCGTAGAATCCTCTGTGGTTTCCACGAAATGTTCTCAGAACAGTTCTGGCTGGGGCTGTCTGGCTTTAACACATTGGCTTCTTGTTCTAAGAACCTTGCTTCTGCTACCAGAGCACTTTTGGGTTCTAAGACAATTTCGTGGTTGACCTATAGGAATGCCGGGACGGCCGGTCCCTGCTCGAGGAGCGGGATCAGTTCTCAGACACGCGCATGGGGGGGTAGGGGGAGGGGGGAGGCTTCTTAGGAGCACCCCTGCTTCTCAGAAGGCGCGCTCCTCGTCTGCAGGTGCAGGGCCGATGCCTTCTCAGGAGCAGCCTCCCCCTAAGAAGCCTTACCCCCTCCCTCTACCCCCGCTTGTGCGCGCCGCCGATTGCCGTCGGGCGGGCCCCAGGAGCGGGATCGACGCGGGAGCGGCCAGGGGTGCGGTGCTGACTTGGAGTCGCCTGGGGGTCTGCGGCGGCCCTGCACGGGTTCGAGGGGGGCGAGGGTCGAGGTGCTGGTCGGAGAGGATGTTTCGCCTCTTGGCAGCCTCGGTCATGGACCCCTTGTTGGGCGTTCGATCATGGACCCCGTGTGGAACGCAACCATCCCGCTTTCGCGCCGAGGGCCGCTGGAAGCCGCCGAAGACCGCCGAAGACCGCCAGAGACCGCCGGAAAGCGTCCGAAAGCCGTCCGAAGACCGCCGAAGGAGGCCCAGGAGCGGTGGGCAGCAAGGGGCCCATGGTCGAGCACGTCGAGTGCAGGAGGTCGAAAAACGAAAAAAACGGCATGGGCATACGTTCTCTGAGGTCCGCGCGAGGACTGCTCGGATCGGCGCTTTGGGGCCCCCGTGGCGCGCCGCCCCTTGGCGCGTTTTGCGCGCGCCAACGGGGGAGGGCCCAGCGCAGAGCCAAGAAGTCCGTGCAGAGCTCCGATCACGTATGGTTATGTCGTCGTCCTGATTCTTGGCATCGCTCGGACGTGTGCATTCTTTCTTTGCGAGAATCAGCGAGGACCATCCTGGACCATCGAGCAAAGAAAGCACGAAACCAAAACATGCACGGGAAATGGACGTCCGAGCGATGGCAAGGATTGGTTTTTCTTAATTCAACCAGAAGCGCCCAAGAAGGCGGTGATGATTCTGCGGGGGGGGGGTAAATCATCATGGCAGGGACCACGAGATCTGCCTGGAACTCGTAGCTCCCCCCTTCCTGTTTCATCACGGGCCCTGGTCTACCACCCCTGGGCCGCACACGTGCGTCGGGCCATGATAGGCGAACCCACCTTCATGGACGCCTCCCTCTCGGACGCCCCAGGTTAAATCGTTTTTCAGAGCGCTCTGACATGCTCTCAGCGCGTTTCTGAGCGCTCTGCCACGGCCGCGGCGCCAGATGCATTATCCTCCAGAGCCGCTGGACCTCGGAGATTCCCGCTTTGTCCTGGTTCGATGCAGTCCAGTCGAATATACACAGGACCCCGAGGAGCCTCGTCCCCGAAGCCCACAACATAATCATAATCACTAGAACAGGTCTCGCGTATCTGGGGTCTCTTCGCTTGGCGGCATTTCCGATTAGTGGAATGGTGCGGGGGGGCGTCCTGTTTCCGGCGATAATCTACAGGAGCTGTCGCCGTGCAAGGTCATTCCCGTGTTCTGCTGGAGGACGGGCCCTGGGCCGATCGGACGTTGCGTGGCGTTGCGTTGCACGGGGGGCGTCCCCTGGCACACATTGCGAGTCCAGGTCTCACCTGACCCAGACCTGCCAGCGTCCGATCCTGTCCCGCGGCGGCCCTGCCAGAGGGGCCGCGCAGCGCCCTTCGCGAGCGGCGCGGCGCTCTGCCCTCTGTTCAGGGGCAGCGGCAGGGGGGGAGGCTCGGAAGGGGGGCACGCAGCGCCTCAGCGTGCGCTGGCGCCTGGTCATCGATGGGGAGGCGCTGTTTTAGCGTCGGCTTGGCGTGTATTTCATGTCGGTTCGCGTCGGCCAGCCAGCGTCTGTTCGCAAGAGCCAGCGAGATGGCACCGGAGACTCCCATGAGTTGCTACCGAAGGCTATGGCGCCCGACAGCCCACTCCGCCCAGGAACGTGCGGCTTTGCTATCGGGAGCATATCGCCGATCTGTCGGCGACGTATCACCAGCTGCGGTTAAATGTACCCCCCCTGCCCCTCAGAGTGGCGCGGCGATCCGCCCTCTGCCGGGCCGCTACCTCCACGCCGTCGGCAGCGACGGCGAGGACGGCGACGGCGACGGCCGCGGCGGCGACGTCGACGACGACGTCGTCGTCGACGACGACGACAAGGGCAGCAAACGAATGCGTCGGCGACGGCGACGGATCCTCGTAGCCGACCCGTGACGGTATCGAGTACGTAAAGCCCGCATCTAATACAATCGCGCACGCAGATGGCATGCGCTACTGGATGTGCAACCCGCTCGCATCACCTCCCTCCACTTGCACCGCTTGGGCGATCACGCGGGCGAGTGGAGCGAGTGGGGCTGATGGGGCAGGGCCGCGAGTGGGGCAAGCGGGCAGGTTGGTAGCGCCGAGTCGCGAACAGCGCCGAGGCGTCTTGGCATGCGACGCGCCGGCGCGCCGCCGGCGCGAGTGTCTGGCGGTCTCGGCGTCCACCCCAAGCGACGGTTCTGACACGACCGCGGGCTGGTCGACGTGAAGGAAAAGGGGTCCTAAACGAAACGGGTCCTGGACCCCAGGTCGGAGCCGGTTGGGGGTCTGAGTTGACCTGGCACTGACTCCCGCCAGCAGGAAGGGCGGGCAGGTTCGAGGCGCCGGGTTCGGGAAGGTGTTATGCCTTTTTCGGTCTCCAGGGGCCGTTTTCGCGCACCAGGACCGTCAATAATTGATCCGGGGTGAGAATGGAAGTCTGCACCAGATGGACCCCGCGAGGGGTCCGGGGACTGCGAGGGCGTGGATCGAGGTGAGGGGGGGAGATCGATTGAGTGAGACGCTGGTTCTCCCCCCCCGCGGACCTTCTCATCACACGGGGGGGGGAGAAAAAAAGGGCCTCGTGCTGCTCCTCCTCCTGAGCCCAGAGTCCCGAGAGCAGAGAGGTCGTCCAGACGTCGCCCTCCCTCCTCCTCCTCCTCCTCCTCCTCCTCCTCCTCCTCCTCCTCATCCTCCTCCCTCCTCCTCCTCCTCCTCCCTCCTCCCTCCTCCTCCTCCCTCCTCCTCCTCCTCCCTCCTCCTCCTGCTCCTCCTCCTCCTCCTCCTCCTCCTCCTCCTCCCTCCTCCTCCTTCTCCTCCTCCTGCCTCTTCCTTCGCCGCCCGTGGAGGGTCGTGGGCGCAGCAGGTGCGCTCCGCTCGTGGGCCCCCCTCCCTCCGCCGGTGCCCTCCCCCGGGCCGCCCCCCCCGCCCCCTCTGGCGGCTGTGGGCGCTCGGCACTGGGGGGGGCGAGGAGTGGGCGGGGGGGGGCGTCGAGGGGTGCACGAGAGGGGCCCTGCAGGCCTCGGGCGAAGAGAATTATGCACATGCACCGATCCTGGCAAGGCCCATCCTCGACCCAGGATCGGTGCATGTGCCTTCCTGGCCAGGGCAGGAGGGCGTATGCACCGATCGTGGGCTCAGGATGGGTCTGGCCAGATTCGGTGCATGTGCATAGTTCTCTTTCCTCTATGCAGGGGCCCTGAACGAGCCCCTTGGGGCCCCGAAGGGGCACGCAGGGTGCACCTCTCTTCCCCTCCCCCCCCCCCCCGTCTGTCGCCCCCCCCCCCACGAACGATTGCCCGAGCGGCCCCGACGGCGAGGCCCAGTGGCGCGACGAGGCCCAGTGGCAGATCAGCCAGGCGGGCGCGGCCTCTCGGCCCGGTGGTGGCCACCGCGAGGGATGTGCCGGGCGCCCCGCCGGGGAAGCGAAGCGTGGGATGAAGTCGGGTCTGTCCCTCTACAGGAGGAGCATTCAAACATAGTTTAAAACAAACTGGGGGCGATGTTTGGCGTATTTTTGAGTATATCGGAGCATGTTTTGCGCATGTGTTATATATGTCGTCCAAATCCGCCTGTAGGGGGACATGCCCGACCTGAGCGTAGGAGTCGAGTTCGCCTGGGCTCGGGTTTGCCGGCGCTTTCTGGCGAGCACGTCCTGGACGTGTTTGGGAGGTCACGTGTTCGTGGGGTGTCTGCAGCGGGAGTTTGCGCAAATTTTCAGACGGGGTTTGATAATTTTTCTGACGGCCCCGTCAGGCCAACCCGAGCCCCCGAACCCGAGTCTTACGTCCCCCCGATTTAGGTGCGGGCGACGGCCGCTTTCGTCCACGGGTTAGGTCTCTTGAGGCTGCCTCCTGGCTCCAGGGCAACAAGCCATTCGTCACCACCCACCAAACCACCCCAACCCAACCCGACGGCCCCAATTTGCCCTCCATTTCCAGTGGGGGGGGGCCAGGGAACATCGACAAAACACGTATGGAACCCGTGCCCCCCCAACCCGAAATTCGGGTCTTCGGGTTGGGTTGGGGTGGTCTGGTAGGTTGTCAATTCGGGATGAAAAGCTGGTCCTGGGGAATTGGTCGAGATCCCCGCGGGAGCCCACGTCGCGACGAAAAGTGCGTCATCGGAGGAGGGTCAGGGTCAGGGGGTAGAAGATGGGAGCCTGAAGAATTCGGGGCTGTCAGCGCCGATCTAAGAAACCGCGCGAGCCTTCGCACAAGCATCACGCTTGCTATGATCTTCGTGCTCTGGCATGCATTTCCCTTTTATAATTATCTGGGCCTCCCAGATGGGGTGGTCGTGCAGACGGGGGCGGAGGATCTCGCTGCATCGCCGAAGCATCGCCGACGTTGCTCGATGTGGAGTCAGGATTTCTCCACGCCGATAGCGCCGATACATCGCCGACGCATCCGCGATGCAGTGGTGACGCGGCGCGAGCCGCCGACCCCAGTTGCACGGACCCCATCTGCGAGTCTAGAATGCTTGCAACTCACGTCTCCACGATCCGACGCACACTCCGATGCGATCAGACGCCCCGATTCGATGCTGACTTTCTGGGATGCCCTCTCCTCTTCTTAGCATCGCTCGGACGTGTGCATTTTTCCTTCGGCGAGGACCATCGAGGAGCATCCTTGATTATTTGGTGAAAAAGCTTCGCACGAAACCGAAACAAACACAGGGAATGGACGTCCGAGCGATGGCCAGGATTCGACGCTGGCTGCTTCTGGGAGGCCCTCTCCCCTCCTGCGGCCCCCCGCCCCCCTGGCGGCCTGACGGGTGGTGTGCAGCGAGGGCCCAGCCGCGCACGGTGGGCCCAGTGCCTGCGATTGCGGAGCCGGCGGCCGGTGCTGCCCGGCCAAGAGGAGGAGGAGGAGGAGGAGGAGGAGGAGGAGGAGGAGGAGGAGGAGGAGGAGGAGGAGGTGGAGGAGGAGCAGGAGGAGAAAGAGGAGGAGGAGGATGAGGAGGAGGAGCAGGACGAGGAGGAGGAGAAAGAGGATGAGGAGGAGGATGAGGAGGAGGAAGAGGAGGAGCATCGGGAGAGAAGAGGGATCAGCAGGCAGGCAGGCGAGAGGCCAGGGCCGGCGGGACGACGCGGACAGGCGGGCAGGCGGGAGGCAACGTGGGTGGAGGCAACACGCGGGGTGCATGCGAGAGAGTTGCCCCCCCCTGCGGGGTTCGGTCCCTGGCGAATCGGCCGATCGTCTGCTCAGCCCGCCGCCCTGCCGACCGGTGGTGTAAGTTGGGGCCCGTGGGTTTATGCGGAGGTGCCCACCGAGATCACACCCTGGCGTCACGCCGTTCGACCATTCTCTCTCTAGGGCATCGGAAGTCAGCCGTAAACCTGCGCTGGTCCGTTGGAGCCGTCTTGGATGCTCTAACCCCTCCGTCCCCCTCCCGCCAAACCTCAGGCAAGGGAGGGGGAGGGTACCCCTCCCCGCAGGAAAGAGGGCTCCAGGAAGAGGAAGGAAACTACTCGTTCGACCTCCTCAGCGCAAAGGGCTGGTGGGATTCGAAACATCTGCTCAGCCCGTCCCCCCCCTCAGCGGCAACGATGGGGGGGGGGATTGGCATAGGGGAGGCTGCATCGACTCCCAATCGCCCATTGATCGCCGATAGGGGCCCGACAACCCCAAGCTGCCCAGGGAGGTGCGGATCCACTATCGGAGGCATATCGCCGATCTATCGGCGATGATCGCCGACTCCAGGTCGATGCACCCCCCCTGTGCCAGTCCCCCCCATCCTTGCCCCTCCCCCCCCCCCCGCGGCCAGATGGTGGAGCGCGGCGAGGGTCTCGAGCACGAGCGCGCGCAGCTCCGCCGGGAGCTGACCGTGGCCCAGCAGCACTGCAGGGCGCCGCGCCCCCGCGCCGCGGCGGCCGAGATCCAGTGAGGGGCTGGTTCGGTCAAGCAGTGGCGAAGCGTCCTGGCTCGCCTATAGGCCTACCAAAGAATGTTCTGCGAACCTCTTCTGGTCTGCACGGAATGTTATTGAGCCATTTCTGGTGGGGGCTGTCTTGTTTTCACGCATCGGGTTTGTGTTCTAAGAACATTAACTTTTGTTCTGAAAACAGCTTCGGGCTCTAAGAACATGTCGTGGTTGGGCTATAGGAATGCCGGGACGGTCGGTCCCTGCTCAATTCGGTAGAGTCAAGGTGCATAGTAAAGATGAGCAATGTTCCAACGGCTGCCGCTGCATCCTTGCCCCTTCGGCCCATGCTCGGCGACTTTCGTTGGCCAAGCCCCGTTCGAAAACGCCAACGTGGCCCTCCGGTGCCCCTTGCATCCTGACCGCGTATCCTTCTTATGCGACTCGACGGTAGCAAATCTTGGGATCCTTGTGTTCCTTCTTAATTCCCTCTTGAGAGTCGGGTCAGCGATGAGATAGCGCCGAATTGGCGTCGATTTGGCGTCGACCAGCGTCCACTCGCAAGAGCCAGCAAGATGGCACGGAAGGCTCCCATGAGCAAGGGCGCCCTCGAGGGCGCGAAGTTGTTCGCGCTGTGTGCTTCGGCTCCGATTCCTCCTCATCTTCCTCTTCTCCCCTGGGAGGCGGCGCGAGAGCGCGAAGTCATTCGCATTTCGCGCTTCGCGCAGCTCGAAGCGCGAAGCTGGGAGCCCTTGGATCTCCCGCGATCTGCTTGTTCCTCCCGGCGTGTTCTCTCCTCGCTTGGGGAGCTCGGGGGCCGCCCTCGGGCCCCCCCCCCAAGCAGCCCATCAGGCACGGATCCGGGGCCGAACATCGGAGGTGGATAGACCTCCTACCCCTGACACGTCGATCAGCGAATTGGCCGCTTCGGTACGCGAGAGGGCGTCGCGGCCGTTCTTTCTGCGGGTCCAGGTCCGTCGGTTTCGGTCTTAGGCCGTCTTCACTAAAGGGTGGGTTACTAAAGGGAGGTTTGTCCACCGCCGAGAAACCTAACCCGGGGAGCGGTCGGGACTTCTGGGGCAGCGGATTGAACAAAAGTCGCGTCGGCGGATGTCAGGGTTCGGCGGCGACGACGACGACCACGCCGACGATGACGGCGAAGGCGACGGCAACGGCAACGGCGACGACGACGACGACGACGACGACGACGACGACGACGACGACGACGACGACGACGACGACGACGGCGACGGCGACGGCGACGGCGACGGCGACGGCGACGGCGGCGGCGACCTGCTGCGACGGCGACGGCGACGGCGACGCTGACGACGGGAGCGTAGGTTTTCAGACGTTTTCTCCAGGTCTTGCAGCAGATGCTCCCCGTTGCGGGCGTTCTGGGGGTGCCCCGTTTCACGCGGAACGGCCGCCAGGGGCCAGAGTTCTTCCTGCGGCACTTCGCAAGCCGGATCGATATTGACGAACCAACAACGCACCCATATCCATAGGGGGGTCGGAGAGGGCCATGGGTGCGTGTCGTCGGATGGGGGTCCCCGCTCGAACGGGAGCGTTCCCCAGGGTCCGACAACCCGCACCCATACCCATAGCCAGTCCTTCCTCCCAACGACCCCCCCTGTGGGTAGGGGTGTGTGTTGTTCGTTCGTCAGATGTTCAGAGCCCCGAATCATCAGGGGTAACTCGGGTCAGGGATAACTCGGGTTCGTGTTTCGGGAACCCGAACCCGAGTTACCCCGGACCCGAGTTACCCCGGATAACTCGGGCGCCCAACCTGTGGGTATGGGTGTGTGTTGTTCGTTCGTCAGATGTGCGAGGTCCCCGCGGCCTGTCGTCCCTCCCGGCTGCGGCGCACGGCGTGCGGCCGCCCCGGTCTGCGGGAGCAGCCCACGCATGCCGCACGCCACGAGCCGGGGGGGGGAGCGAAGGTCAGTGGCACGCCGCCGCCGGGAGCCCGTTCCGCGTGATACTCCTTGGCTTTTTCGGGGGAGCGTAAGACCCGGGTTTGCCAGGACTCGGGTTCGCCATCGTTTTTTGACGACCGCGCCTCGGATTTTGACGAGGAGGAGTTTCGTGGGATGTCTGCAGCGGGAGGCCTCGTCAAAATGCAGGCTCGGCCTCGTCATTTTTTTGACGACCTCTTCGGGGATTTCCGAGTCCCCCGTACCCGGGTCTTACGTCTCCCCGACTTTTGCCCGTGCACCGTTGTCTTCCGCAGTGCCACGGTGGCGGGCTCTCCACGGCGGCGGGTCAGGGAGATCTGGGGGAACAAAAAAGGTGGCATGCACATAACAAGTCGGAGGTCCGCGCGGATTTCTCGGATCGGCCCTGGACCCCCCCTCCCTGGCGCGCGGAGCGCGCCAGGGGCGGCGCCGGAGGCGCCGCCGGGGGGGCCCAGCGCCGATCCGAGAAATCCGCGCGGACCTCCGAGTTTTTATGTTTATGCCACTTTTTGTTCCCCTGATATTGTCTCTTTGCTCCCCCAATCCATCGGCAAGCCGCTCACGAGGGAGCCACTCTTTGCTGGAGGTGGTTCGCCGTCCCAGATCCCTGTTCGCTGGCCCCGGGGCCCGATCACGGCCCCCGAGGACCGACATCGAGGAGACGACGCCGCTTAAAACACTGTACTGTCGGAGATCTGGGATCGACCATACGTGAGCATGAACCCTCGCCGGAGTGACCGTTGGTGCTGGCCCACCGGGGTCCCCGATCGTTGATTGCGGTGCGATAGCAGCGGCTTGCGCGCTGCGTTTTGGCCTCCCCACGCCCCCCCTTTCAGCCGCGCAGCAACAGGCACTATTGCCCAGGGCTCATTTCGACTCACCCGGTTCGATTCGATTTCGATGGCTCAGGATTCCGATTCGATTTGACTTTAGTTTCCGATTTGGATTCAGATGTTTCAATGGATTTGGTTTGTGTGCATTTCGCGATCCTACATATTAGGAGGCTGTTCTCGCGGACGAAAGGGCACTTGTTCATGTGCTCGGTTGGGCGCGTAAGTCCTCCGTGGGCTCCCTACGCGGGGCCTGCCTCGCTCCGCTGAAGACACTCAAGCCGGGCGATGGGAGCTTTCTGATGCAGGTTTGTTGACAGTGTTGGGTTGACGTCTCGTCTTTGGCGGAGCTCTTCTGAGCCAAACTTGTCACTGGGATATGTTTGCCGCTCATGAATGGGGTCCACGACGCCCTATCCAGGTATGGTGGACGGCTGTGGCGTGGCAATCCTTGGACTGCTGATCTCATCGTTGGCCGCTCCAGCACATGCTGGAACGGAAGAAGCCAGGCTCGTCGCATGGACGGATGAAGAGTTGAAGCCCCTGCCCACCAAGTCGCTGGAGCTCGTCGCCGAGCTATTCGTGACGTCGAGGCTTGGGCAATGGGAATTGGTGGAGCCCGAAGGGCTGTTGCTGCCGAAGCCCGACGGCGGCTAGGGACCCTTAGAGTGTAGCCCGATCTGGCTGCTGTCTTTTTCTTTTGCATCTGGGTTGTAGGGCAGACGTGCCTTCGCGTAATGGCAATGCAACTGGGAGACCGACGGATGGCGGCGCGACGCGGAGGAGCTGGCATAGGAATTGGCCCTTGAGTTCGAGGCCTCGTAGGCACTTTCCTAGGACATCGCTGGTGCAACCCTGGATTTGCGAAAGGCGTACGACCACGCGCCCCGCTTGGTGCTTGCTTTCCCGAGCGGGTGCTGCACCTTGGCTCACCCGCCTGGCGCTCGCTGTCTATGCACGGCCCGTCGCAGGGTTTGCGTCGGAAGGGCCAACGGGCAGCCGCGGGCGCCCACGCGGGACCTGCTGCCCAAGGCGCCCCTATAGCGGTGGCAATCTTGCTTGTCCTCTCGGCGATTGGCTCCGCAATGGAGCGACGAAGGGAGCGAGGAGGAGGAGGAGGACGAGGAGGAGGACGAGGAGGAGGAGGAGGAGGAGGAGGAGGAGGAGGAGGAGGAGGAGGAGGGGGACGACTCACGTAATGGGTCGAGGCGTCGACGGTGAAAGGCGGCGTTCCTCAGGGGCAGCGATAGGGGGGGGCACAAGCAAGGGGGGGGATGCATCGGCTCCCGGGCGCCCATGGATCGCCGACAGGGGCCGCATGGCCCAACCCCGCCCAGGAACGTGCGGATTTGCCATCGGGGGCCTATCGTCGATCTATCGGCGATGTATCGCCGATTTCAGGTCCACGTTTCCCCCCTTTGCCAGTCCCCCCCCGTTGCCCCTCAAAGGCGGCGTTCAGCCGAGGAGGTCTGGGATGCACTGCAGACAACCGAAGGCTTGAGGCCGCAATTGGCGGGCAGCGCAACTGGGCGAAGACTCGCCTCAAACACCTGGCTTAAGCCGCGCGGCTCGACTTCTGCGATCTCGGCGCGGTGGCGGCTCTGCGTTGTCAGCACCCCGCTGCAGAGAGGCACAGGGCCTGTTCGTGAGGTTCGGGCGCCTCCTGCGTCTTGGCTTCAAGCGTCGGTGCTTGCACGACGCCGCGGCTGGCACGGCGGCCAGCTTGCACGGCGCCTCCGCCAGCGACAGCGTTGTGGCCGCCGGGCACGGCTGCGGCAGCGGGCCATTGGCGCCGGCCGGGCGGAGCCTGGCGGAGCTGCGGCTCGGCACCGGCGCGGCGCGCTGGACAGACGTGGCTGCCTCGCCCAGCGAATGGTGCCCTGCCGGCACGGCGCCGTCTTACCCGCGATGTCTCGCTCGATGCTCGGGACGGCCTGGAGGCCCGCGCGCTGGAAGTGCGACGCCCCGTGTTCCAGCATTTTGCCTCGGGCGTGGACAGCCGGGACACCCGGCGACTTCCCCAAGGGCGCCCTCGAGGGCGCGAAGTTATTCGCGCTTCGCGGTTCGGCTCCGATTCCTCTTCATCCTCCTCCTCGCAAGGGAGGCGGCTCGAGAGCGCGAAGTTTTTCGCACTTGGCGCTTCCCGCAGCGCGAAGCGCGAAGTTGGGAGCCCTTGCTTCCAAGCAGTGGCGAAGCATCCCGGCTCGCCTATAGCCCCACCAAACAATGTTCTAAGAACCTTGTGTGGTTCCCACGAAATGTTCCTAGAACACTTCTGGCTGGGACTGCTTTGTTTTAGCACCTCGGGTGTATGTTCTCAGAACCTTGTTTGTGTTCTAAGAACATCTTGGGGTTCCAAGAACATTTCGTGGCATGACTGTAGGAATGCCGGGACGGTCGGTCCCTGCTCAATCAGGAGGGAAAGAAACACACAGACACAATTAATCGTCGATTCCCAGGAAAATATGGGAAAATATGGGAAGTGGGGGGGAAGACAAAAACCCAGAAAATATGAGAAAATATGGGGAATCCTTTTATTTGTGTGTATTTATTTGTGTGTCCCAGGGCCCCTTCACTCAATGCTTCCCACCAGCGACATCAGCTCCCGCCCGACGCCGCCGGCGCGCTGCGCATCGTGGTGAGCGGCCGCGTGCCGCTCGAGTCCGTGGGGGCGACACGTGGCCTGCCGCAGGCGCGCCCCGGCTGCGGCGCCGCCTGCACGCTTGGACCACGGGCGGCCCACCGGTGCGGGCCAGCCCCTGCTGGGAGGAGGAGGAGGAGGAGGAGGGGGAGGAGGAGGGGGAGGAGGAGGAGGAGGAGGAGGTGGAGGAGGAGGAGGAGGAGGAGGAGGAGGAGGGGTGATGACTCGGAGGGGTGGATATCATGGCGGGGGCCATGATATTTTCCCAGATGTCATGGCGCCGCTTCTTATTTCATTGCGTCCCTGGTCCCCCCGGTGGGCCGCGCACGTGCCGCCAGTCATGATTTGCACCCCCCCCTCTTGGACACCCCCCTCTTGGCCGCTCCCGAAGAGCTAGGCTTAAGTCGGGCGTGTCCTTCCACGGGAGGAATATGCAAAACTAGTAGAACAATACTCTGGTCCGAGCACAGCATCTGACTACCACCACCAAGATCGAGAATAATCTACGATGCGATTTGGTGCAGTTTTGCTCTGGTGAAGCGCTCGCAGCCCCCCTCCCGCCGCCAACGGCAAACGGGCTGCCACCTCTCTCTTAAAGACCGAATCGGAATTCATCAAAGCACGCGCGGTGGTGGTGTATAAGTTTATGGCTACCAAGAAGTGCTGTTCCTGCTCCAGGAACTCCCCATGCTACGGCGCCTGCGAGCTGCGCCGCGCTCCTTTTCGCCGTGGCGTCACAGCGTCGTCTGGCATGACCCTGCCCCTAACCCCTTTTGCGGTAAATGACTGTTGCGGGCGGTGGTGGTGTATAAAAATTGGCCTCGCATCTGGGGCCCTATTTCGGGGGCAGTTTGGATCTTTATTGTATATTTGTTGGCTATTTTTGATGTTTCGTCCAAATCCGCCTTTAGGGGGACATGCCATACCTAAAGCTAGGCAGCCGCGCGTCCAGTCGGCATCTCGCACACGGCCGCCCGCGCGCGGCTGCCCTCGCGTGGTTCTCACGGGGGGCATGTGGGTGACCACGTGGCCCAATGCGGTGGCGGAGCAGGAGCGGCTCCTCTGGACGTCGCTCGCGCTGCCCGACGCTGCCGGGCAGGCGCCCTCGGCGCACGCACGTGCGTGGACCGACGGGGCACGCGAACGCCAATGCGACACGCTGCTGGCCAGGGCGGGGCCCCACGGAGATGCGCGGCCCACAGACCGCGCAGCGCGCAGAGCTGACCGCAGCGGAGCGGCCCCTGCGCCGCGAGCCCGCCGGTAGAGAGGTTGTCACGGACTTGCGGTTGTGCGCCGACCTTCGGCGGCGAGCCTTTGGGGTACGTGAGAGGGGGAAGGTTTCCTAAAAATGCGGCGGGGCTTCTCAGAAGCCCTCGCGCTGTCTGAGACAACGTTTGTGGTTTTCGGGGAGGGGGATCGAAGACTTCTGCGAAGATGCGAGGGCTTCTGGGAGGCCCCGCTGCCTTCCGAAAATGGCCTGTTTCCTCCCACTTCCACCCTGGGCTCGCCGCCGTGCCTTCTAGCGGCGCCGCGGGCCGAGGGGGCCGGTTGGACGAGACCGAAGCAAGGGCCGATGGCCGCCGCCCGCGCCGGTCAGCGAGCGGCCGCGGCAGGCTGCAGGCGACAGAGGCGGTGCAGCGCCTGCTCGCGTTCGTGGAGTTGGCGGCGGCGACAACGAACCACAGCGGCACCAGCGCCGCGGGCCCCCGCTCGCGTCAGCGCTGGGCCCTTGCTAGGCCCGCGCGCGCCTGCGCCGCGCACCTCGCGAGGGGGCGTCGCGGCCGCGGCCGCGCCGCCGGCAGCCCCGCGCGCGCCTGCTGGCACCCTCCGGCGCCGGGAGCGGCGGCCGCAGCGCGGACGCTCTTCGCCCGCGAAGCGCGGTGGGCGCACGCGGCTCCGCAGGGCCCCGCGCGTGCGGCCTGCGTGGCGTGCGGCTGCTGGGCCCCAGGCCGGCGCTTCTCGGGCCGCCGCCCTGCGCGTCCGGGCCCCGGCTCTGCCTCCACGGGCGCCCGGGCTGCTGATGTTGGGGGCCGCGAGCGCGCTGGCGGGCGCGAGGCCGAGAGGCGCACGGCGGTGCAAGAGCGCCTTTTACCCCCCCCGGGTTAATGGATGAAAACTATTACGTGAGTTTTGATGATCAAGCCTACTTGAGCCTTGATCTCGGGGACGGACAGACCTCCTACCCTGACGCGTCGATTAAGGAATTGGCCGTTTTCGGTTCGCGAGAGGGCGTCGCGGCCGTCATTTTTGCGGGTCCAGGTCCGTCGGTTTCGGTCCCAGGTCGTTTTCACTAAGGGGAGGTTTACTAAAGGGAGGTTTGTCCACCGCCGATGATCGCCAGGAAGAATCTCGAGCGCCAGAAAAGTTCCGAAGTTCGAGGGTTTTCACGTACTGGGCCCTGGGAGACACCCGTCCGACACAAGCTCGACACGGTTTCGACACTCTTTCGACACTTGTCCGGGTGTTCGAAATTATTTCTGGGATGTGGTCTTGAATCTCGATGGGAACACATGATACGATAGTTGGTTTCTGCCACCAGAGTGGCTGTCCTCTGGTTTCTTTCTCCCCTCTTTTCCTCCGTGTCTTCGCTACTTGCCGCGGGGCTTTTGCTTGATGGCAGTCGGCAAAAGGTGCAGATGCTTTGCGTGGCCTCTATGGCGCGCGACGTTGTGCCCGCAGTCCCCGAAAACCCCCCGACAAGAAAGGGGGCTCGTGGATGCACCTTCAGAAAACCAGTCGGGCGCACCCCGAATAGTCCCTTCGGAAGCCTCAAGAGGCCCCCAACAGGCCCCTAAGAGCCCCCTCCCCAGGCGCCCTGAGGCAGTCGTGGCGATCCCGAAGCTTCCAGAGAGGAGAGGCGATGAACGACCATCGTGACGCAATCTTGCGCCATTTTCGAGCTCAAGGTGCCCCCCATCATGGCCCAACAGGTTCCAGAAACGCCCGAAGAGAGCCCCCCTGGGGTTCCCAAGAGACCCTCCAGAAGCAAATTATCAGGGGACGGACCCAACCAAGATGGCCCCCTGAGCGCCCCGGAGGCATCCCAGGCTATCCCTTCGGTTTTCTCCAGCGTAGACTCAGCTATCCCCGAGTGGTCCCGACTTGTTTGGCCAGTCGAATCTCCCACGAGGTAGGGGCAGGGGTCGCGAAGCCCATTGTTATTTGTCCCCTCTGGTGGGTGTGGGGGGGATGGCAACAAAAGGCTTTGCGATCCCAGCGCCCATGCACGGCGTGTCTCGCAACGCACTTTCCCAAAGGTTTGGGCCCTCTCGCGGGGACCAGGTTCTCATCCCGAAGTGCCCTGGGCACTTAGAGGCCATAATGTGTCAAACATCTCTTGTCATTCCCTGCCACGGCGCCACTGTGTCAAAGAAGTTGTTCCTCCCTTCCACCCCATCGCCCAGCGAGGTTCAGGCCGACCAGGTGGGCTCGCTGCTGAGCGCTTACGAGCAGGAGGAGCAGCTGGCAGAGATCATGCGGGCGCGCGTCTGCGCGCTGGAGCAGGAACCGCCTGACAGTCAGAGTGGTTCCCCTGACTTCTTCTGGGTTTCCTGCACGCCGACCACTGGCGCGTGCCGTCTTGTCGGGGAGGAGGAGGAGGAGGAGAACTTCTTTCCTGAATGAGACGTTTTGGAGCATTTCCGGCTGGTTGCCTTCACCAGGCCCCGGAGCCGTCAAAACAATCAATTGCCTTGGATGAACAGTTAGTCCTGGAGAGTGGGTCCAAACAACCGAATGTCCATTTTGCTAAAAAATCACCAGGTCGGTTCTCCGGGCTTCTTCTGCATTGTTTGTATCGAGGGATCGTGGCCTTGGGAGTGCAGATCGACAATTCTTCCCCCAGAGATCGTGACTTCGGGATGATCTACCCGACGCTTTTTCCAGTGCCGTTCCCGACGGCCTTCCTAACAGGTTTCCCGACGACCTTCCCAAGGTACAAGGCGCGTGCGTGGCCACGCGGGCGACCCGGGTCATCCGCGCACGCGCGCACGCGCGGGCGCGCGTTTGTATGGCGATACGTTGGCAAACGGTTTCGCATGTCAATCAGACTGTAAAACTCCAGGCGCAAGCGCGAGAAGCAGGCGATCCAGATCACCCGCGCGCGCCTATACGGCGACCTTGCTTGTGGCAAACACGGGAACGTCGCCATGTTGGCCTGGAATGCCCCCGAGGGCCTTTGGTGCGCACCACATGGTTGTTGAACCGAACATGTGGTACGTACGTGAAAATCAGCTGTGGATTGTGTTGTCCAATGTGCCAGGTGCGTGCGCGTGCAGCTTGCAGCCGGGTCCTTACCGAGCGGGCGCGCGATTGTATGGAAAGCTCCGTAACGTCAATATTGAAGAAGCAGAAGCGCCACGTTGGCTTGGAACACTCACGTGGATTCTCAGCGCCAGTTGTTTGCATTGGGGGAGCGGTTTTATCGTACGTCATTGCATTTAGCATGATACAAGGCGCGTGCACGTGCCAGAAACCGAGATTATAGCTGTTACGGCACGAACCTGCGGTACCCTCCAGAAGTTGGGACGTTGCCTTTTTGAACGTATACTCCGACACCTTGTGAGGTTTGGGTCGCAAGAACCAAGAACTGAATCCTTCGCTCTCCCCGCTTATTCTGCCCCCCTTACCTCTACAGCACTTCTCATTGAGTCAGCAGAGCGGGAGTCACGGTGGGTCCCCAGAGGGACACGTACGCAAATGTTGTTATTTGTGGGTGTTCGCGGTACGGCTTCGACGAGGATTGGTACCTCTCGTTGCAGTTTCTCTCAGGGCCATTTTGGCGTACCATGGGGGGGGCGGCTGGTGGAAGTTTCTGTGAAGTTTTGCGTGGGCTGTCATGGGCGTCTCGGGGCCCCTCAGGGACAGTTTTGGGACCTCGAGCCTCTGAGAGGTTTGTCTGGGGAGCTGTTCGGGCCTCAGGGACCTCCTTGGGGGCCTCTTGGGCGCCTGCTGGCGATCTCAAGGGCCAGTTTGCGGGGACGGCTCGACATGTGAGAGCCCTCTTGAGAGGCCCATTAGGCCGTCTTGGGGCCCCCCTCGGGGCCAAAGAAGGCGGTGACGCCACAATCTTCAGAAAAAAAAACCCAAGCAAAACCGATGAGCTTTGCATCTTGGGGCTCTCTTGCGGGGTTTGGCGGGGGGGTTGTTTGGGCTGCCGAGGGCTCCGTCTGGGCTTCTGGAGCGCCCGCAGGCGGTCTCCAGGGCCCGCGAGGAAGGCCCAACAGGTGAGTTCGGATCCCCCCCTCGTGCGCCTTCTGGGGGCCCAGAGAGCCTCCTTGAGAGGCCTCCTGGGTCGTCTTGGGCTCCCATGGGGCGTCGTGGGGCTGGCTTGGAGACGCTCTGGGCAGACTTGGGGCGATCTTGGCGGCCTCCTTGGCTGCCCGGGGTGGCCGGACGCCCCACACGGCGGCGACGCCAGAATCTTTCAAAGCCAACGCATGAACTGTGAATTTTGCCCTTGAGGGCCATTGTCGGGTCCTCGTGGAGCTCTCCGGGGCCGTCTTGTGCGCCTCTGGGGCTGTCTTGAAGTCATATCTGGCCACCTCGGCGCGCTGTTGGCCCGAAGCTGTTGGGCCTGCCGCCTGCTTGACGCCTCCTTGGGGCGCTCCTGGGACGCTGTGGGAGCATTGATGGCCGCGCCTGGAAGTTCCGACATTCCCGGCCGGGATCTTTGGCGGTTATGGACTTGTCGTCGGGGTCACCCCAGGGGACGCCCCGCGCGCGCGCGAGCTAGAGGTATCCAAGCTTCTTACCAGAGATTTTAGCATGCATCTGACCCATTGGGCCAGTGAGTTTTTCATGTTGCTTCGTGATGATGTTCCCACATCAAGTCCATTTGGCCGCCGTTACAACGCAATGTCAGCAGTCCTCTCGGAGGCGATGACACGGCATGGACCCTCCCTCCCGTGGCTCCCGTCCTGTATTGGGAGGCGGGGTGCGAAAACTGTTACATGAATGCATGCGGTTGTTTTCGATCCCGCCGCCAGGCGTCTTCCTCGATTTGGCGCCGGGAAAACCAGCCGCGTGCAGTTGATTGGCCAACCCTCCCCCTCTGTATGGCGACGCGCATAGGGGGGCGGCGCGACGGGGGTGCGACCTTCTCAGGCCCGCTGGTCTCTGAGAAGCCTTCTTCGAAACTCCCTGGCCTTTCTGAGAAGGCCCCCGCCTTCTGAGAAGTCCTCCGGGATTGCTAGAAGGGCGACCCCGCACCCCTCCCTCGCGACAGCCCCTCGTGTGCGCTGCCAACGTGTGATCTCCCACCCTTTCGCCCGCCCCGGCCACCGCTCCCCGTTGGAGGAGAGAGGAGGGGGAGGAGAAAGAGGAGGAGGAGGAGGGAGGAGGAGGAGGAGGAGGAGGCGGAGGAGGAGCAGGACGTGGGCGGAGGACGAGGAGGGAGGGGGGGAGGACTGGAAAATGGAGGCCTCTCCTCCGTCCTCCCCCTCTCTCCTCCCCTGTCCTCCCCGCTCCCCCGACGGGGGGGAGCCCCCCGCCCCGACCCGCCCTCCCGCGGAGGACAATGCCGAGCTGGCAGAGCGGGTGGCCGAGCAGCGCGCGGCCCGCGCGGAGGACGCCGAGGAGCACGGCAAGGACCGGCCGTCCCCGGCCAGCACGCCGGTCGCAGCCGGCTCTAGGAGGAGGAGGAGGAGGAGGAGGAGGAGGAGGAGGAGGAGGAGGAGGAGGAGGAGAGGAGGAGGAGGAGAGGGAGGAGGGAGGAGGAGGAGGAGGAGGGAGGAGGAGGGGACCGATCAGGAGGGGGAGGAGGAAGAGGAGAGGGAGGAGGAAGGAGGATTGGCACACGGTTACCAGAATGTATGTCCAGCAGCCCTGTGAGCACAGGGATGCAGCAGACACTGGGCGTAGCGTATTCGGTTCCATGTGGGTGTGCAACCCCGGGGAGGGGGAGGAGGATCGGGGGCGTCTAAGACGGGGGTGAGGACTGGTGTGTGTATGTGTATGTGTATGTGTATGTGTGTGTGTGTGTGTGTCTGTGTCTGTGTCTGTGTCTGTGTCTGTGTCTGTGTCTGTGTCTGTGTCTGTGGCTGTGGCTGTGGCTGTGGCTGTGGCTGTGTCTGTGTCTGTGGCTGTGGCTGTGGCTGTGGCTGTGGCTGTGGCTGTGGCTGTGGCTGTGGCTGTGGCTGTGGCTGTGGCTGTGGCTGTGGCTGTGGCTGTGGCTGTGTCTGTGTCTGTGTCTGTGTCTGTGTCTGTGTGTGCGTTCTCGTGTGTGAGGGCGTGTGTGTTCTACCTGAGTGGTTCCTCTCCCCGCGGACCGGCTGCACAATGTCCAGGAAGAGCATGGATTAGCCAGGGCCTCGCCTACAGGACGGGACCCCCCAAAAAAAAAGCTAAAAGCGAGAGCCCGGGGGGGACTTCAGAAACAAAACCCAAATCAGTTGCCTGCCCGAAGGCATCGCTTGGAAAACTCATCAGTATATCTTTGTCGCTGTTGTTTTTGATTCATAGGTGGTGCTTTGTCTCGTTGAGGGAAAGTGCCGCGCTCGCGCGGCGGCCCTGGACCATTCTGTTTGGGGAGTAAACTACGCTCAGGAGAAGAAAAAACACACAGACACAATTAATCCTCGATTCCCCAGAAGATATGGGAAAATATGGGAAGTGGGGGGGAAA